TTTATTTGGACAATATTAAAAGGTATTTTCCATGACATTGGTTGGTACAGTGAGGACCACAGGTGAGGACAGATGAAATCACGCGATATAAATAAGAAAACTGACCTTAAATTTCCTATTTTAGTAACAAATTAAAACAAATCGAATTCTTACTTAGACAAACCCTGCGGTAAAATTCGTAAATTGATACTATTAACAGAGAATCCCAAGGCATAATAGCTCTAAAACAGTTCATAATGACCCTGAAAACCAAACTTGTTTTTTTCTATCCAAAAGTTCGATTTATAGTTGCTCAAACTTTACAAAAACTTAACCAAAACTTGCACGACTCAGTCTGAAGCAAGAAATATAAAATATAGTTTACACTTGGGAATAGTCTGGTATTTGTAAAGAATATCAAGCACCGAATATTTTAAGAGTGATAAGATAACATAAATTATTTGCATTCTAGTTTCTTAGGACAGATGGTACTGAGATTTATAGTAATAGCACATTATTATTCTGTAGTAATACGATACTTAATGAATTTTTAAATCGTGATCTGTTGTTTGGAAGCGAATAGGTATGTGGTTGTAAACAGGCGATAGTAAATACAATATGTTCCTATGTTACCACATTCAGAAACACAGACAATGCAGTAATTTATAAATGCATAAGCAATTACTAGACTTTTTGTTAGTGTTTATTTATTTGTACAGCTGTTGCGCTATTACTAAAGGACTTTTTTCAAATAAATACTTTAATTAATCAATATAATTAAAACGTCTTTTCAGGCATATTTTATATTCTTTAGATAAAAAAAAACCTTTTTTAAAATAAAAGTTGGTGATAAAAGTACCCTAAAAATAAAGGAATGCCTAACGACATACGTTAACGTTAATGCCTTCCCAGGTGCCTTTCAACTTGATTAAATTAGGAAGAAGTCCCGGGGTAGGTTACCAATCGGTAGGATTAGACAGATCCTTTTTAGGCACGGAAGTGGCAATTACCGGAGATAGCCCATTGATAAACGAATGCTAATTATATGAAAGAATAAAGCATAAATTGGTAAGCGCCTTAGAATGAGGAGAGCCGAGCCCGAATGAAATGAGAAAAGAAAAAAGAAGAAAAATAATATTTTCTTTTTTATTTGGCTCGTAAGTCACAACATAATACGAATTGACAAGTCAGCAAAAGAAGAAGAAGAAAAAAAATCGTTTAATTGACCCATTTCATCGAATACTACAAGTAAGCAAAAAAATAGTCTGCTAAAAAAGTCCACGACTCAGCGTTAGTCGTAAATCGAATGCTATTTACCCCTGATTTTCAGCAGGGACCTTTAAAATAAGTAAGTAATATAAACCTGGAATAAGGATGAATAGAAATAACATTCCAGGAATAAATTGGCGGCTAGTAACAATTTGATTAGAGCTATAAATAAAAAAGAAAGATGAAAACAGATAAAGATAACTATGAATAGATAATATAATTTGATTCAGAAAAAAGTATTTCAACACAAACACGAAAAAAAAAAAAACAATAAAATATGCCATCAAAGAAGAATAATAGGACAATGGGCGAAACCGTAATTTTTCCGAGTTAGTATTCAAGATATTGGATAACAAAGGTATTTTTTTTCTGATTTATTTGTTTACCTCTGAACTTTTTCATTAAAGCTCCACGGTTTCTTTTTATATAAAAAAGACACCAAGTGTGGGTAGTATACATATCTGAGGGCCCCGTAGGTTTTTAGTACAATTTCTGAAGCTATAAAACTGAGCTAACGTATTTTTTTCATCCACTCTTCAACTTTTAGAACAGAAATGTACCTACATGTTTTGCTGTGTGAGAATTGAATAGCCAGCCAATGTGCTAAATCTTTTGTCTACATTTAAAGTCTGAAAATAAGGTTCAATTATCTTCAGCGATTGTAGGGAACCCTAAAAACAATATTGCGGATTACAGCGATTATTTCATCTCAAGGAAAAATTAGATCAAACAGACGGTCCAATTACCTATTTATTATTATCTCACAAGAGAATATTGCCTGCTATAAGAAAGTCTATTTGCTTGAATTATTATAGAGATAAATATTATTATACTAGCTGTGCCCGCGACTTTGTACGTGTGAAAACAGTTTCCCGTTTTTGCAACATTTTTCTTGTACCGCTCCGCCCTACTAGTTATAGGGTAAAGTTATATAGCCTAAAGCCTTCTTCGATAAATGAGCTATCCGTTCCTGAGATTAGCGCGTTCAAACAAACAAACTCTTCAGCTTTATAATATTAGTATAGAGTATAGTAGAATATAGAGACCTACTTTTTAAGACGCTTCATGTAATTACTTAACATAAATTGGCTCAAATATTGTTCGAAACTGGAAATGGGACTTCATAAAGATACACGAAGTGTAACATATGGGGTAAAGAATCTCTTATTCCATCGATGTCTTAAAATAAACATAGAAATGTACATTTTGTGTAGGAAAATGTATATTTTATTTACTTACAAAAGGGAAATGCTTATTGCTTTAATATGTTACTGTAAAAGCTCGAATTGCAGTAAATCTTAAGATATTCCAGTAAAACCTAAGATCTACCAATTCCTAATGGTAAATGTCCCAAAAGGTTTGCGATTCGAACTCTTACCACCATTTCGTTGGTAAATCTTAGGATTTACATTAATAGCACGGTAAATGTTGAAAAACAAAACATGTCATTTNCTCCCTGGCCCGTTCCGAGGCCTCCTTTTGTGACATAATTTCTTCACAAAAAGAGGCCATCTCTTTCCAGGCAGTCTCGTTTTCCAGCATGGCTTTAACTATGCTGAAGAGCGAAAGGTCTACGCCTACCGCTGAAATCAGAGAGCGACGCTGCCGAACCCAAGCTGGACAATCCACGAGGGTATGGTCCACGGTGTCCTCCGCAGCGCCGCACTCATGGCATTCAGGGGTCGGTTGCCTCCTGGCGATGTGATGCAGGTACCAACCAAAGGCCCCATGGCCGGTTAGCACCTGCACCAATCGGTAAGTGAGGTGACCGTGTTTTCTTTCTACCCATTATTTTAACACCGGGCGGATTGCGCCAATGGTACGCCGTGCGAGCCTTCCGTACTCACCGGCATTCCAGGTGCTCGGACCAGCGTCGCAACAGGGTCTCCTGAGCCTGGAGAGGCCAACTCAGTAACCAATGACGGACGATTGTCACTCAACCACAAAGTACCGTAAATTAAAAGATATTTTTTAATTAAAAATATTAACCAATAATATTTTTAGTTAGATCAAATATATTTTAAAGTTAAGTTATACATAGATCGAAATGTATTTATTAGGTGATCAATATTAAAAGGCAAACTTGATAAAAAAATCATCAAATTAACAAAATTAAAGATCAATAACTAAAAAAGAGGATCAAATATTATTTTTGTTTACCAAATATTAAAAGAGTATGTTAAACATAAATATTATGTTACCTTAAATAAAGATCATTCATAATTTATCCGTAGATCAACTAATATAGACTCAATAATTAATATAAAGATAAAATATAATAAAATACATCATTGATTTTTAAAAGTTCACATACAAAAAAGATCAATTAGTTTTTAGAGGGTCAAATAATATTGTCCCTTTTTTAAATACCTTCGCGAAGTAAAACTTCTGTACGTAGTACTTACCTATTATTATTCTGTGGTTCAAGTAAACAAGTAAACAAACAAACAAACTCTTCAGCTTTATAATATTAGTATTTCTTAGATCTTTCTATGATCTGAGGTATAGATAGTAAAACTCCTGTTTGAAAATTCCACGTCGTTTTCGCGGTATATAAATTCAGTTGCCTATTTTTTTATTTTAAAATTATGCAAAAATACTTATACTCGTTAACATTAAATAAAGTAATAACATTTAATTTAGAAATGTTACAATACTTTATAGAGCTCTTAAAACTACACGTAATAATAGGCCAGTAGAATTAGATTTTAAATCGGAGATAATTCCTACAAAAGATTTTATTGCTTTAATGGCTTCATTGGTTGCCCATAAAGACTCTCCTAGGTTTTCGACTTCGACGGAGTTGTGCTTAAGTGGTGGGGGCCCCCGAAAGGGGCGCTTTTTAGCTTTTCCGGTTATACCGCGTAAAGGACTTACCCTATCGAAAAGTGGTCTTCCTGATGGTTGAAGGGCATTTAATCCTGCATTAAATAAGACCAAATTCATATGTTTTTGACAAACCGTTCTCGTGCAAATGTTTGGCAAAGTAGAAAATATGTGTATAATTAATGACCCTCTCCACGTTCAATAGCTCGTCACCCGTAGGCTCCCAAGCCTTGTAAAGGGTCGCCTTAACCAGCGTATCCCTGTCAAGGCTCACGAGTTGAATTTGCTTATCCTTGTTCGTCCCGGCCGTTCCTTTTAACTGCGGTTGCTGCACCTCTACCTGGCACTCTCCTGAACGACTCTGTCTCTAATGTGACTGCCCCTCTTCCTTGTACCCTCCTGTACATTGAATTGCTTAGCCATATGCCTGGTTCAAGGTTCGACGCCACAAAATCAACTTCGTACGCGTGAAAATAGTTTAAATACTATTTTCCGTGCTTGCAACATTTTTATTTACTGCTTCGTCTCTATTAGTCGTAGAGTGATTGTATATATCCTATAGCCTTCCTCAATTTATGAGCTATTCAACGCAAAAATAATTATTTTAATCAAACTAGTGATTCTTGATTTTAGCGAGATTGAGATTAGCGCGTTCAAACAAACAAACAAAAAACTCTTCAGCGTTTTAATATGAACTTGTTGTTGTTGATTTTTGGCGTCGAACCTTAGACCAGGCATACGGCTAGGCAACGTAGTCGTTTAGGAGGATACAAGGAAAAGGGGCAGCCACAGTAGGTAACACAGAGTTGTTCAGGAGAGTGCCAGGAAGAGGTGCAGCAACTGCAGTTAAGGAACGGCTGGGACGAACAAGGATAGGTGCATCCAGCTCGTAAGCCTTGTTAGGGTTACACTGGTTAAGGCGCTCCTTTTCAAGACTTGGAAGCCTGCGGGTAAGGAGCCATTGGACGTGGAGAGGGTCATTAATTATACACATAATATTTTCTACTTTGCCGAACTTTTGCACGAGAACGGTTTGTCCGGAACATATGAATTTGATCTTATTTTATGCAGGATTAAATGCCCTTCAACCGTCAGGAAGACCACTTTTCGATAGGGCAAGTCCTTTACGCGGTATAACCGGAAAACAGAAAAAGCGCCCCTTTCGGGGGCCCCCACCACTTAAGCACACCTCCGTCGAAGTCGAAAACCTAGGAGAGTCTTTATGGGCAACTAATGAAGCCATTAAAGCACTAAAATCTTTAGTAGAAATTATTTCCGATTTAATGCATTTTTGTGTTTAATTCTACTGGCCTATAAGCGTATTAAGTGCTTCATAAACGCATCCCGTTAGGAAAAATGATTTAAGTGATTTGTTTTTTTTTCTTCATTATATTACCATGATATATGCAAATATTTTTAATTGCATTTTACAGTTAAACATGAAAGTGTAGATTTGTGTGCTCCACCATGTGATTTTTCAATTAGGTACTTTGAACTACTTTTAGCGCCTCTGTGGTCTAGTGGTAAGCCTTTAGACACAGAGGTCCAGGGTTCGATTCCTTGTTGGCTCTCCTACGCCTAAACTATTGATTTTACAAAAAGGTTATGTAGACATCAAAAATGGGAAATTTTTTCTAGTTTTAGTTTCTCTAAGCATGTTTTGTCATAAAATTAGTCCGAAAGGAAATATTAATAAAAACTGCTACTAGGCATTATTTTTCCAATATAGCGGCGCGAGCGGCAACCATACGAGATCTCAAAGTTGAAATTCGTAAAGAGCACATCGAAAATTTCCTCCCAAAATACGGAGTTCACAATTTCTTGACATCTGTTTCGAGAAACTTACGAGTCGTTTTATTTTATTTATTTTCTAGCACTCAATGTACATCTGGTGCCGGGACCACCGCTTGCACCACCGTTACTCAGACACCGACGGAGACCCTCACAACTCAAAAAGAGGCATGTTCTATAGCCACTTCGGCTGGTTGATGACCAGCAGACACCCGCTCTGTAAGAAGCTGAGGGACACCATCGACATGAGCGACTTGCAGCAGGATCGATTTGTGATGTTCCAGTACAGGTGAGGGGAACTGTGTGTATTGCTTTATTAGATAGCACGGCAGCAAGATTTTGGAGTGGAGACAAAACGCAGCGTAGTAGGACGCGCCACTGACGACATCATAAAGGTGTCAGGAAGGCGCTGGATTCAGGCCGCTACCAACCGGCCAATGTGGGAGTCATTGGGGGAGGCATACGTTCAGCAGTGGACGTCCTGTGGCTGAAATGACGATGCAGCTGATGATGATGATAAGACAGCATTAAAAACTATAAGCGAGATTTACAATATCTGCAAAATCTGCTTTTTGTTGTTACACTATTACGATTTTATTATTATTTATACGGGACCTAATGGGCAATCTTTTCCCTTTTATCCGACTGCGCCAGAAGGAGGGTCAAAATATCTCTTTTTTTTTTTCAGACACTTCCGACCGCTATACTTTTTCTTGGGGTTTCTCCTGCCCATCTGGCTGCCGATGCATTTCTTTCAAGAGACGTTCACGAATGCAGTGTTTGTGTGTTTCTTCCTGCGTTACGTGTACACAATGCACGTTACGGCCTGTATCAATAGCCTGGCTCATAAGTTCGGTACTAGGCCCTATGATAAGTAAGTATATCTAATACCTACTTACTATGTACTTAATATTGAGTTTCATATCTGAATGTCCTTGGAACGGGGCAAAAGCGCACAGGCGCATGGAAAACGTGGAATACAGATCCCCATGTTTTCCAATTTCTTTGTTTCTATTTCTGCATTATTGACAATCATCTTGACATTTACTTGACCTTCATTTGTTGGGTTTTTATGGCGGTCAAGCTGTAGATCCTAGACAGGAGTTGCAGTGGTGGGAACGAGAGGTGGGAATAGTCCCGAATCATCTTGACATTCAATGTTTAAAAAAAGTTTCTAGAAAATTAAATCCAATATTTTGACACTCTTGGTCGTTTGAATGCTTTACTTTTCATCGTCTTCCAGAACAATCCAACCGGTTGAGTCCTGGTTCGTATCCCTACTGAGCCTGGGCGAGGGCTGGCACAACTACCACCACGCGTACCCCTGGGACTACAAGGCGGCCGAGATCGGGATGCCGCTCAACTCCACCGCCAGCCTCATCAGGCTGTGTGCTTCTCTTGGACTGGCGTATGATCTGAAGTCTGTCGACCCTGAGACGGTGGGTAACTTGGAACTGCTAAGATAAGAGCCAAAGAAAGAATGCGTTGCGACGGCGCCGCTCAGTTGTTTAAATATCTCCATGTTTATTGTGACTCTTACGCTGCTGGAACTGGAACGCAATGCAGACACAAAAGCGTGCGGCACAGCAGTTGCGGCATAAAAACGTTGCGGCGTCGCACCGCTCATGTGCCCGCCGATACAGCAAAATCTTTAAGATCCTCGTCTCAAAGATTTTGCTGTCGCAACGCATTTGACTTTTAGCTACTTTTTACCTCTTCACATCAAAATCACATTCGTATTTGAGCACATTCTCAACATTCTTGTATTACGTATTTTCCAAATTTCTGAAAAAACAGATCCTGGAATCGGAGACCTAGCTCTATTCTATATTTTTAGATATACTTACCTAGGTAGTCGTGAGGGCATTTTGCGACTACTTTTTAGGTTTTCGATGGCAACGGGTACCTCCTACCTATAATTTAGTTTGCACCCTCATGATACCGTCACCATCTGATAATTTATTATAATTATTCATTTTACAGCTAAACAAAAGGATAATAAACAAGGGAGACGGCACTTACGAGGTGAAGTACCTGGAGGAGCACGTCACGGCCATCGGTCCGCTGCACCCGCTCAACCCCAGCTACCGCGGCACGTGCCCAGACCCTGAAATCAAGCTCAAAGTCAGAATGAAGCCCTAAAGACAATCATTATGCTAGTTTCAGTCAGTTTCAACTTACAGTTTAAAGTCACTTTTAATATTTTCTTCTAAGGAATTTTTACTAGTTAACTGATGTATCTTAACCGTTATAGTTTTCCTTGAAAGTTCATGAAAAGCAGTATTATTACGAATTTTTCTAGATTTTTCAAGCCAACAGCCCTACTCGAACAAAAATTGGCACTTTAAACTTTAATAATTTGGAATAGTCTAAATGGAAAAATAGTCTTAGAAACCCCTAAGCCATTTTAAAAGACCTATCCAACGATAACCCACTCGATGGGGTAAAAGGCGAAAAAAAAATTCATCCCCACTTTAATGTAGGGGAGCCTAAAAAATGTTTGTTCAAAATTTTATTTTTCCTTTTGTCGGAGTTATTAATATACATACCTCTACGAAATTACAGCTCTCTAACTAGTGTCAATAGTTTCCAAGCGAAACCTCGGACAGACAGACAGACATATCGAAACTATAAGGGTTCCTTGTCAGGACAGTGAGAAATCGAGAAACAGCTAAACAAAGGTCAATATAGAGTTATCAAAGAGTTAATTTATGTCATTCTCAAGAGAGCAAAAAAAAAAACTACTTTACTTTGGGGCTAGCTGGCGCTGTGTGAAATTGTCCAAAGATTTATTTATTATTTAGATGTGCTATGTGTATTCTTAAAAATATCTAGCCAAAAGATGCCAGATGCAGCAGAAATCAACGGATTTAAGACTGGAGTTAATATGGTTCCTTGTAGATTTGAGACTCTAGCTAGAGCGTCCCTTCCTCCACCATGCGTAACTATTTTTCAAAAATACTGTCTAAGGTCTGTAGCTAAAGGTCTAAGCTGCAAGATAGAAGAATCTTCTAGCCAAAAAGATGGCAGATGCAACAGTTATCAACGGATTTAAGACTAGACTGGCACCACCTTGCAATGTCATCCTCTCATTGTTAACTGTAGTGTAAATAATTAGTAAAATATATTTTAAAAATATAATGTTCGTTTTATTATTTCAATAATCTATTTGACCTCTCAACCACAAAATATAACTACACAACACCTTTGTTCGTAACTGTACTGACGAAACCTCGATATTATAGAGTTATGTATGGAACGGTCGCTTTTCTGTAACCTTTATAATTTGGTCGACTTATAGAAGAATTCCTGAATTTTTTTTGCAGTTCAATAACTTTCTTATAAGTCGTAACATAAAGCTGAAATTAACAGGATAGCTTAATCAAGGAACATTTTAATTTGTCCATCGTATGCCATGTTCCCTTGTTATAACGGAATTGCGTATTCGGTCACGAAAGTAAGACTGTTAAATTAAATTAAATTTCTTGAAATCTCTCTATTGTGCAAAGCCACATCATTTATATTTAATGTGGTTATAAAGGTGTACCAAGGGTACATGCTACACTTTTTTATTCGATTGTAAGAGTATTGGTTTACTCACAAATCCGTTTAATCTGATTTTCGAAATCATTTCATTACACTGGTGTTTATCATTCAAATCAATAACTAATGTTTGAACTAATTAGGACATAGTTATCAAGGTCTATCATTGGTATTTTTTTCAAACTTCTGCGTTGAGCCATTTACGAGATCTGGGACATCACAAAACATTACCCCATCAAAATTCTAAATAACTTGAGAACCGGAACACGGACAAATTTTGCTATTCGTGGACAAATTACTACGCAACAAAAGCTATCTATTCATGTATTTGGTTCCGGGATAGAACGACTTTCAAAAAAAAATTTGCCAGGGTAATGTTTGAAACGTTACCGCAGCAAAATCGGTTTCTCCTAATAACTATAAAACTACAATTTGAACGAATTTTGCTATTAGTGGACAAATTTCTACTCACGATGGACTAATTATCAACTATACTCTCGACTCTCTAAAGCACAAAATTTATAAAAATTTTGCTGCGGTAATTGATGAAATAATAAATCTTTAGATTGGAAATAAACTTGGTTTTATTTTATCAAACAAATAAAACAATAGAAACGCGCACACCGTGACCATAGACCGGAGAGAGTAGAGATGTGCATAGACAACACAAAACGAGTTGCGTTCACACTTCATCATGCTCCCCTGGACGCGAACGTTTTGTAGTTAAGTCCATTGATGCAGTTAAGTCTTCATGCTTCGGTCTGTGAAGTCCGTTNTCATCGTCTACGTTGAATTTTATATTTCTTAATTTGTGTGCCGCTGTCATTATTTTATTTACGTATTCTTCAACTGATGAACTATTTTCCAAGTTTGTGTTTATAAGTTCTTTTAACAATCCCACTTTTCGTGTCAATCCACTGTCTTCAAACGCTCGAGCTAAATTGTCCCATAATTCTTTAGCATTTTCAGCATCTTGGATGTGAACATATAGTATTGGGTCGATCAACAATATCAGCTTGGACTTAGCTTTAGTGTCTTGCTTCACTGACTCAGGTTTATCGAGATTTGGCGCAGTCAAAATACAGTCATACAATTCCTCGAGTTGCAAGTAAGCTTTGACTGCAAAACTCCAGCTCGCCCAATTTTCTCGACCCGTGAGTTTTGCAATTGACATCATTGGATTGTTATTAGTCATATTTCAAATAACATTTGAGCTGAAATTGCTGAAAAATGAAATTTTTCCACGGACCGAAAGTGAGATTACTTAAAACTTTTACTTTTTTACTTTTACGTTAATTACTTTTAAAATACTACACGACAGGCGTGGGGCGGCCCATAACCTGATGAAATAATAAATCTTTAGATTGGAAATAAACTTGGTTTTATTTTATCAAACAAATAAAACAATAGAAACGCGCACACCGTGACCATAGACCGGAGAGAGTAGAGATGTGCATAGACAACACAAAACGAGTTGCGTTCACACTTCATCAGTAATGCACACACAGCAGGGACGGTAGGAGCACAATATTCTGTGGGCTCAGCGCGCATCCCTGGATGACAAGGTAAGGCTTTATTCTATCTACTTACCCTACATTTTAACTTGCAAGTAGGGAAATTCGTAAAAGTCGGCTTTCGTCAAAACACCAGAAAAAAGCATTTTTTATAACAACAGACGACTTTATTCAAACGTAACCTATATTATGAATTAGAAACAATTCAATAATCATTACACAATATTTAAATGCTATGACAAACAATCGACGAAATCGTTTAACTTCCAGCAAGATTCTTTTTATTATTATTTTTCCATGCATACCTGCCCAAGCAAGCTTTGGTTCATGGTTTTCGTTCGTAAATTTAATTCAGAAACCAGTTTCTGAATAGAGATTTTTGGCTTGAGCGTGTTCATCTTCTAATTAACTATGACCTTTTCATTCTAGAGAAGATGAGCCGGCATCTTAAACCGGCAGACAGTGGTGACTGAGTTTGTTGCGGCGCTTCTTCTCAGCACTTGCCAAATGTTTGTCTCGAAGCGCTGGTAGGGCAAAAAAAGAATGAGACATGTATAGGCTCCTTAAGAGCATTTGACGATTTGCAAGTACTAATTTAATTAGTCTAAACAAATAAAGATAATTTTGATTTTGATTTTGAGCACGGTCAAGCTGGAAATCTCAATTCACCGGGGCTACGCCCGCGCCCGCACTTTAGGGATGTTTTGTGGTTAAAAAAGCAAGAGTTTGAATTAGTCCGTTAGTTAACATCAAAAAATACTCGACACGTACGTATTTTTCACTTTTTCAAAATAATGAAAGTTGAGAGATATAGCGCGCCAAAGTTCAAAAGACGCCTCGTGACCTCAATGCGTGGTTAAAAGTGTAGCACCAGCAGTATTCAACGCACCATAACTTTCTAATTTCTTGTTTGATTGAAAAATAAAAATATACGTGTCCAATATTTTTGATAATATAAAGTGACGGACTAAAAGTTTTTTAGGAAACTGCTGTCCTTAGGGCTTTATTCTGATTTTCAGCTTGATTTCAGGGTCTGGCTGGGCACGTGCCGCGGTAGCTGGGGTTCAGCGGGTGCAGGAGACCGATGGTCGTGACGTGCTCCTGCAGGTACTTCACCTCGTAAGTGCCGTCTCCCTTGTTCATTATCCTTTTGTGTAACTGTAAGAGAAATAATTAAAGTTGCGAATCTAGCAGCCTGGCCACTATAACGAGAGCTGGCCAATCCAACTGGTAAATTAGAGAGAGCCGTGCTCCTGCTAATTTAGACTATAATTAATGACAGAGTAAATACAAATGAGTAGGTCATCTTCATAGAAACGCCCGAGCGCGGTTTGTATGTGAGCGCGCCAATACGTATGCGGCGCGCACGCACACACTGACAAAATTTAGCGTGGATTCCGGTGAGGTGCGCTGAATTTTGTCAGTGTGTGCGTGCGCGCCGCATACGTATCAATTGGCGCGCGCTACATACAAACCGCGCTCGGTGCGTTTCTATGAAGATAACCTACTCATTTGTATTTACTCTGTTAATGACCCATTCAAAATGTCCTAATGATTAACCTAGAAGTTCTTCTTGTCCCTTATTTCGTTATTTAATTACTATATAGATGTCCCGCGAAATGAAAGAACACGAAAGAATTTTTAAATTGGAGCAGTACGTAGTACTTATTATTATTCTGTGGCAGTACCTAGTTCCTGAGATTAGCGCGTTGAGGCAAGTAAACAAACAAACTCTTCAGCTTTATAGTAGGTACCTACTTTAAGTAGTAACAGTATCAGTAGTATACATTTCTTGGACCCTCACGGCTGTCTAACTCATATCACTATGTGTAGGCCTCCGTCCTCAAAATAAATAGTGTTTTGAAAGCATCATATCAGAGAATCGGAAAATTCGTTTCTTTAAATTCAAATGTACCTTAACCAAACTAGCTAGTCTAGCAGTTTCAAGTTACCCACCGTCTCAGGGTCGACAGACTTCAGATCATACGCCAGTCCAAGAGAAGCACACAGCCTGATGAAGCTGGCGGTGGAGTTGATTGGTTTTTGGGACGCAAAGTTATTGCCAAACTTAAGCCTAACAGTTTC